TTGCAGTGAGAGTGGGGCTGGTCTATTCTCACTGGTGACTGGTGACAGGACGAGGCCTCAAGTTGTGCCAGGGGAAGTTCAGGTTGGATATCAGGAAAAAACTTCCTTACAGGCTCCCCATAGAAGTGGTAAAGTCCACTGAGTGCATTTAAAAACCTTCTGGATGTGGTGCTCATGATTTAGTGGTGCACTGCTAGAGTCCCTAGTCCTTCTTGCTGCATGATCTTGTGAATTATAGCTCTGGCAAGGAGAAAGGATGACTAATGGGGTGATCTATTGTCTACAGCATTGCCATAGCCACAACCTGAGGAAAAAGAAACAGCAGTAAGTTTGTATTTGGGAGCTGACTTAGCTTTCCTCCAAGACAGAATTACAGAGGACATCCTTATGGATGGTGAAGCATGTCAACTGAATCACTCCATGTAGGAATTAATAACTGAGCCACATCTAGTGTTCATTTGTTACTCTTTTCATGCCACAAATAATCTGAAATATACTGCTGTTAAACTATTCTTTCAAAAGGAGATCAAGAAAGAAAGGGATTGGGCCTCTTCTACACTAGTAATTAAAAGAGGAATCTTTATTTAATCCACATTTCTCTGGAGCAGGGAGATCCTTGTTCATCCCTGGTACAAATTCCCCACAGTCAGTAGCTTTCTAGCAGAAACAAAATTATTGTAGGTACAGGAAGACAATTAAGTTTTGTTTCATATGCAACTTTCTTACCTAAGAAGAAGGTGAAAAAGTGGCCATCGTGTTTCTTTTAAACTTGCTTTTGCCATGCTTGATGGATTTCTCTCCCAGTATGGCTGTCCTTTAAGGTGCTTTGCCATGGGATAATGCATGCATGCGAGCTGTTGTTGTGCAGAGTTGGCCAGTCAGCACACCAGAGAAAGTTCTTTTTCAGGCAGGAGATATTATCATTGAGACGTATGATACTTTTGAAAATACAGCACAGGATCTTGTTCTTCTTTTGCATTTTATCAGTGCTGGTCCTCATTCTTCTTATTCTTTGGGAAATTGTGACCACTTGACCTATATTCATGCTGCCATAGACCTTGAATTTTCACATCCTAGGGGATATATGACGTGGGTCAAGTCCTTTTTTCTCAAAGGCTAAAACAAGAAGAAAACAATTTAGAAACATGAGAGAAAATGATCACAAGCTATGAATGTTTTCTTTAATGCCAAAATAAAAACATGTGAGAAAACTTCCTTACCCTCCCCCCCCACAAAAAAAAAAAAAAAAGAAAATCACCAATCTTAAAGCTTTTAAGACAGGTCATTCTTTGTGCATTGGTCAGTAATTTGCTTTCCTCTTTCTGGCAAAAACCAATATTTTATAGTTGTTGCCTTTTTCTTCCTTCCCAATATCAGTTACATATTTTCAGAATTAATGTATTGCTTGTGGGCTGACCCACATAGTTCGTCTCTGACTTGAAAGAGATTGGGTTCAGCTGATATACCTTCTTTTGGCTTCAGGCAGCCCCATTGTTTGGGTTATTCTGTATGGTGGGTTTCAGTAAGGAATTGGGGTCAAAACAAAGTATTTCCTATGAAGGAATAATGTTTGCAGGTCGGCATGTACATTCTCTGCAGTGCTTGGGTGAAGGACATTCACCAGAAAAATAAACAGCCCATGATTCAAGATACTGGAAGAAACTGAATGGGAACATTTGCCTGGACAGATGAGTTCGGAGCAACTGTTCTGGATACTAACTGTGCTGTTCCTTGTGAATTCCTTGTCACAAGAGGCACACAAATGAGCCAGAAATGCATGTGCTGTCTCAGTAGCACCCTGCTCTCCACAAAATATAGGGGATTTGCCACTTTCTGTAGCACTGTGACTTTACTTTGCCAGACTTCCCGTGATAGTTTTTTCCAGCCGAACTGAGGATTGCATCAGCCTGCTCCTGGCAACGCAAGCACGTTGTGTTAATTCCCATTAACGTCTGCTGAGTGTATTGTTGTGCAGGTTAAACTATATTGCAGCTGCTACAGTATCCATCTGAGTAAGCAGCTAATATTTTCATACTAGCAAATGAGTGCCTATAAAGTACTTGTGAAGTCAACAGGTTGTGTCACCTCCTTTCTGCCACTCGGCAATCGAAGCAATAAACTTTAATTACAAGATACCTGTTAAAAGTGTGGCGCTCATATTCCCATCCACAGTAAAGAGAAATGCACAGCTGCTAAGGCTGTTCAAGGAGAAATGGAAGAACTTTTTCTGGGTACTTTTAAGGCTGTGCTGTGCGCTGAATAGCTCTGTAGAAAATGGAATTCAGAAACAGATTCAGAAAAACGAAATCCCATTACCAAAAAAAGTTCCTATTATTGAACTTTTTGCAGAGGACAGTTGTGACCACCTCACCCCTCAACCTTAGCAGTATATTATGCAAATATGTAGGTAATGCATGCATATTTTGTTTATGTACAATATATATGTAAGGATAGCACATATAACTGCGAAATGTGAAAACACTGATCATTATTACTGTGGTCATTTACATAAGAACTGTTGATAAGATTACTGCTTTTATACACAGTGGTTTTCACACCATGTTTAGAAGCTTCATACACTGTTATAATCACTATACAAAGTTTAGCCAATCTTATTATTCCATTTTCCTTTTAACACAAAGCTCTGTTTGAGTCTTACATCTAAAAAAAGTTTGTCATCTGTTCATGAAACTCATTTTTATTTTCATGTTCCTTTGTAATGCATCCTGGCAAGAATATCAGCAAATGTGGTGCTTTGTATCACCGTATACACCCCTAAAATACATTTATTACAGAAAGCTTTTCATTTGAACTCCCACTGCACTGGTAGGGTTCTTCCTAAGTTAAACACAGCATCTCCAGACAAGAAGTCATTGCAGGTGCTGTGAGCTCATTCTCATTCTGTGTTTAGCTTTGGTGTTGTTTCCACTGGATCTAAAGATGGACTGAAGTTAAAAAGCAAGTGGAAGGCAAAATCACCAGGGAGATGGAAAAGAGTGTTTTCATGAGATCTATAAATCTTCTCGAGACATTCTAAAATTACAGATAGCTGCCTTGGCTGAGTTCAGTGCTAGCAAGAAACTAAGCCCTAATTTTACATGTTTAAACTGCCTTAAAATGAGGTTATTTTTCAGTTGGAAGGTGAATGACTCACAGCCATCAAGAAGCCCAAAAAACTGCACACCTGGTCCTTGCATGGCGCAAACCAGTGTCAGTCCCCAGCACCCAGGGTAACCACGTCAATGGGCAGCAAGGGAGCAGCTGACCCTTGTCTACCTTTCGTTCTCTGTGAGATCCAGGCTGCCTACTCCTCTGGGTTAGAGACACTGATGGAGAGCTCTGATGGCCAGATTAGATAGTTCCCCTGCTTTGTAGTCTGCAGTGTTTTACCTCAATATTTCACTGACCTAAACAGTGGTCAGTTCCTTCTGAGACAAAATGCCAGTCCCCTAAACTTTGCTGCTCTGCCCACACAGCCTCCCTGGGAGACGTGGAACGTGACATTGGTGAGCTCATGATGCTGAGCGCTGACATTGGCTCCTCCGTGGCGTGATGAAAGCAGGACGTTTTCACAGGAGTGGTAGACGAGCGTGCCCCCAAATTGACTGTCATTGCCTTGTCGCCCTGTGAGGCACAGCAGACGCCAGAGCTGCCTGCAGTTGCATAAACACACGCCATCAAAGGTCCGCAGGCCTCACGCTGGCACAGCGCGCAGGCAGCACTGCTGTTCTTGTAATTAATGAACTCTTGGCAGGAGGCTGCAGGAACTCAGCATCCCCTAACAAGCACATGCAGAGGTGGCACTCACTGTGAGTAAAGCTAGTGAAAAAGAAAGTGGAAGCAAGCTTCTGCCTTCTGCCATCCCGTGTTTCTGACAAGGTCAAGGCCTGGGAGCTGTGTGAGCTGACCCTCTGCACAAACCTGATTTTCTTTACTTTTGCTCAGCTTTTTTGGTACCCATCAACTTCACTCACAGAACCAAAGTGTCCCATTAGGTGCTCAAACCTGACTTCTCACCTCTGTGCATCTGGAGCACCCCAAAAATAGTCTCTACCACAAATGGAAGAGTCAATGCTTGGCCCTCCATGGTGCAGTGCATGTATTGTAGGTGTGCACCCCTCCTTGAGGTAGCTCGTGGGATACATTGCTAATAACCTGACTAATCTCTTTTAATCAGAGGAATTATCTGAAGAGAACCTCATTACAGGCCACAGAGATGTTTTTAAGGGTGTCAGGAGAAGGTCTGAACCAGAATAGGTTTATTGAGAAAACCCACTGAGAAAAGCCTGTTCTGACACCATAAAGTCATGACCCACTGTTTAATGTGAATGAACTAAAAAACAAACAAACAAACAAACGAAAAAACCCCAAACCCTAACCACAAGCAAAGGACTGGGAAAGGACACTTCCAAATTCAAGGCCAAGGGCTAACCTGAGGCCCTCCTCCAGGTAGCTTCAAAGTAAGCTCTAAGTCCCCATGTAAACGCCTTTTGTCTCATTTTATTTTGTGGCACCTGGGCACGACACCTCTCCATCTGAACTGGGGATCTAAAACATGGTGTATTTGCTCATGCTCAGTTATTGGCACCAGACTGCGTGGGGCAAGCAGGAAGATTTCCCACTGTGATGCTGTGCCTTTGTAAAAGCTGCTGACTGCTGGCATACATGCAATAGATTTCGTGGAATGACTTGTTCAAAGGAACATTTCTCTGGCATAAACTCAGCAAGTCTTACTCCCAACCCTTATTTCTTCAGAGCTAGCTCAGTTCTTGCCTGTGTTATACCCCCATTTCTAACATCTAAATTCCAATTCCTAACCCTAATCATTAACCTTCAACTTCACAGCATTTTAGACTCATTACTACCAGTTTCACATCCATAGTAAGCATTAAGAAACCAAAGCACTTTGCTATTTATGTCTTAAATGAATTTGTAGTGCTAGAAATTACGCTTAACCTCTTCTTTTATGACCTTGTTTGCCTCTGTTTTCAATTTAGGAAGACATGTTGAATGGAATTTTTTTTTATTTTGGAGAGAGATGCTCTACACAGATGTGCCTATGAAAGAGAGGGCAAAGAAAACACAGGTAAAGAAGTGCATAATTGATTAGAAATTCTTTTTGGTTTTAATCAGGAAAAAAAATATATAATTTGAAGACGTATCTAAAGCACAAAATTATAAATTTATTTCTCTTAGAGAAAACCTATGCAAACAAGTAGGCGTTTGGGTTGAAAACTTCTTGACTCGTTTCGTATCTCTGTATTGAAAATAAATAAATAAATGCCTCTTTATAACCTTAACTTACTAAAAATGAATTCCTTCATCTAGCTGCAACACAAGTAGATTTGTTGAAATCTGCTGTGGATCATGAGTCTTCTTTCTGTTTTCCATTTACTCTCAAAGAGCCCTGGATGCCCCAAATTCCCAGATTTAGGCCTTTTTTTTTTTGTAGGAGTGCAAGTATTATTGCCTCATACTGCATATTTTAACAAGACTTGTTATAATTTTCCCATGGGATAGTGAAACACATCTTACACTGTGTGGTGATTCATTTCCTAGATCTTTTATTTTCATCATTCTTTATCATATAACTGATTTTTGGGGATATTATTATCATGATTACCAGAAATGAAATTAAAACTGCTTACTCTGTAGCCAGGCATTTTATTCACTTAAATATGAAGCAAATACTCCTTCAAATGAAAATGGTTTTTGCTTCAGTCAGAGAAGTGATGTTTAAGTGTTTCCTTTTCTACCAAAACCCATATATTCAAATCACTTTGCAAAATTAAATGTTAACTATGTATAGATAGATACATATCTTAAGGTTAGCATACAGCCAACTTTTTTTTTTTTTTTAGATATTAAGTGAAGCCAAAGAGATGTTACCCAGCTCTCAAAATTTAGTTTTTTAAATTTGTGTATAATCACTTAATAAGACAAATTCAAAGACTGAAGTTCCTTAAATGCTCACCTTTGAACAATGTAACTTGAAACTGAATTTCTCTAGTGTGCTCTAGTGCCCCATTTTGGGCTCCTCAGTTCAAGAAGGACAGGGAGCAACTGGAGAGAGATGATGGGGGGCCTGGAGCACCTTCATGGGGAAGGGCTGAGAGATGTGGAACTGCTCAGCCTGGAGAAGAGATGACCAAGGGGAGATCTTATCAATGCTTATAAATACCTAATTGGTGAATGTCAACAGGATGGGCCAGGCTATTTTTAACAGTGCCCAGAGACAGAACAAGGGGCAGTGGGCATAAATGGGAATAAAGGAAATATCTGAGGAAGAGGAAGAAATTCTTTACTTTAAGGGTTACAAAGCACTGAAACAAGCTGCCCAGACTGCTCGTGGAGACATTTCTGGAGATACTCAAAACCAACCTGGATGCTTTCCTATGCAAACTACTGTAGGGAAACTGCTTTAGCAGGTGACTGGACTAGATGATCTCCAAAGGTCTCTTCCAACCCCTATGATTCTGTGATTCTCTGATTCTGATATTCAGTTCCAGAAAATATATTGGCTGAGAACACTAAAAGTAGGAAATGCAATCCTTAGTGAATCTTGTAAGATCCATCTTTAATGCTATATTATTCTATATGTAAAAAGATTTTTTAGAATACTCTTTAGACTTTTCAAACTACGTTTTTCTTATTCTGCAGAAATGTATACAGATTGAATAAAGGATAAATAATTCTGTATGTTTTACTTAGAAATTTAGACAAGTGTAATTTCATATTAAATTTTGAGGGTTCTCAAGTAAATGAACAGGTGGTATATCTGCTAAAAAATGTTTTGAGAATGGGACTTGCATTTCTTTGCCTGTGTCATAAAAGCCTTTACTTTGTACTGCAAAACCATATATTTTAACTTACAAGACACTGAGAAGAGTTTTGTAGCATTTAGCAATGCTAAAAAAGGGAGAAAGATTACATTTTTTGTTCTCAAAGAATTCACCTTGGAGCATGTGTTGTACACACAGAGTATTGGCTCACTGCAATCATAAACTTTTGATAAAAGGAAAGGTTGGACAGGCTAAGGAAATGAGGAAAAAAAGAAGAAAGAAGCAGAAGGGAAAAGAAGGGCTGTTTTGAAGCAGCACCTCATGTTCTGCCAATGCCAGGTTACATTTCCCCTCTCATTGGGATGTTCAGTTCTAGGGAGCCTTCCAAAACCACATACCTCCCAGTGTTGACAGAGTGTTATTAAGCAATATATCAATTCCCAGATATGACTTATGTCTCTCTCTAGCACTGAAACATGCTGCTAATTAAAGGTGACAGACAATTTCTCTGCCTGTATAATAATACCAGTTTGTTCTACTGTAATCAGGATGTGTGCTGAAACCCAATGAAAGCACTGGAAAGATGCCCGTTGACTTTAGAGAGACTTGGATCTGGTCTTGAAATGGTAAGAAAGAAAGAAGAAAAAAAAAGCTATTCTTCCTTTCTTCTCTCCCTTCTAAAATAAATCATGAATGTGATTGCACTGTTGTGCTGGAAGATATATTTTGTAATAACAAATAACAAATAGGCATCCTTGTGCCTCAGTGCTCTTAGCATGTGCATGTCATGCTCAATTTAACACATACACAGTGCAATATACTTGCTTACTTAAGAGTTTTATTTACTCCTATCTCTCATGTTCACTGTTCCCTTGCATTACTTGTCATCATCATCCTGCAAGCATCTCTACCTAATGTCCCTACAGTTTGATCTGTTCTTTGCACCATGTTGCTGCCTTTCTCCACTGACTTTCCTGGCTATCTTTTGCCATGCTTTCAAACAACTGGAGCCTCTAACATAGTGCCATGCTCACCTCTTTTGCAGCACTGCTTTGCCACTGCTGCAACAGGGCTACACTTGCTGCTGTTATAGCAGGGGCTGGCTTTGAGCTCGCCCAGCCCCGAGCTGAGGGCACGCCAAGGCAGTGAAGGGGTCTGTAGCTGCTCTCTTCCATCAGTTTCCACTGGTGACATGGCAGAAAGAGGTTTTACCATGGCATATATGCTACTGGATATATAGCACTGCTTATATTTTGTCCAAAACAGGTGAACTCACAGAGATGTGGCAAAAAAAGGACCACAAACCTCTTTTCCATCCCCTGGCCAGCACAAAGCACAGACAGGGTTACGCATACACAACAAACAGCCAAAGGAAAATTTTGTCTGGGTGCTCAAGGCCTTTTTTATCTCACCCACGCCACAATAACTTGTCCCTGTCTGAAGGGACAGCCAGGGCTGAGCGGGCTTCCTGCATTGTACTCCCAAAGTCTCCTGGCTCGGGAAGTGACAACATCTTGAACTAATTTTTTTAAATGGAGGTTGATTTTAAGCAACATATTTTCCAAACTGTTTTTTTTTTTTTTTTTAAATGTAAGTCTAATTCTTTCATTTATTTTTTTTTACTTCAGGGCCTGAACGAGGAACACACAGGGCAGCCAAAGACATCAGCAACATCTGCCAGCCACCTCTGGAAGGCAGGAGCATCGCTGAGGGCTGGATGGAGGCTCCTCCATCAGTGGAGCCCTCAGCCGCAGACAAGGTCTGTAACCACAGCCCAATCTGCTGCCCTTTCCACAGCAGACAGTTGTCCTTTTCCATACACTCAGGTACTCTTCCTCAGGGACAAATTTGGGGGTTTTCATCACCAGCGGTGAGGGAGTGGGAGAGAAAATGCATCCAAATAAAGGACCATCACATATTGCTCTGGAGTAGATAGGTTTCCCATTAGCCAGGCTGCGGACACAGGGAGAGGTTTCCTGTGTAGTTTTTGTCCTGGATGATGGGAGCCATTTGAGGAGAGGTGAAATGGGCAGCCAAGGTTTCCTTTCCCCCCTGCCGCCTTCTCACCTTTGTGTGAAGCCACTCGTGGAGCTTCCTTGGCACACATCAAGTCTGAACAACAAGGAGAAGGATTTGGCCAGCCTCAGCCTCCTTGGGCTTATTGGCTCACTTTGCATGGAAAACACATGAAGTGCCAAATATCATCCATTAAGGCTGTTTTGCCAGCCCTAGCCATTCAAACATTAAGAAAAAATGCTCCCAGATGAAAAGAGTGCAGCTTAAGCCACCTAATATTAAAGTATGTGAGCTTACTGATATATAATTGTTTGCAACTCACAATCAGGCACGCCTGCAAGCTACTGCAGACAAAGTGCCCCAAAGGGAGTTTACAATTTCTGGACTTGCCTGGTAAGGTGAGCTTTGCTATGCCCTTGGGGCCAGGAAGATGCTACAAGAGGTCCAAACTTCCTATAGGGAGGACAAGGAGGCGACCATGTGGAGCCGTGTAGTTCCTCCTAGAAGATGTTATGATTAAATTTTATTTTGAGAGATCAATTCCCACAGACATGCTGCTTCCCTTGTACCAGGTTATGGTGCAGCCCTGTGGGCTACAGAGACAATAAAAGGGAGGAAGTGTGGCAGCTTATGGCCCCTGCTTGCACCATGCAAGCTCTGCATCATTTTCTCAGAAACACTATGGAATCTTAAGGACATTTTCCCCCAGCCATGTGCAGGGCTAACATCTATCACACTGCTCCAGAGGGCGAACCCAAATTCCTCTCATAGATCTTCTCACTTTGTGAATTTTTCCACCTCTTTCACAGACTGGCTTCTCTGGCTTTAGGCTGGCTTCCATGAGGCTGGATGGGAAAGTTTCACAGCAGCAGGATGTTTTATTGCTGCCTTTTGTATTTTGCCCAGACAGCATTCCTCTGTCCATGCGCCCAGTGTTGATTATTGTAGATTTTCTCTGGTGTGGAGAATGCTTTTGTCTTCCTGGAAAGTCAGCTCCAAAGTCTGTGACTGACAGGTAGCTGATACTTAAGCAAGGAAGCACTGTCAAGGACCAGCCTCTGCACAGAGAAGTCTGGAATGTGCCCAGATGAGGACATTTGTCATGTTGCAGCAATACTAAATGCCCATTTCTGTCTGTTTTGAAGTTTCTGATGGGGAAATACAGGGCATGTTTGAATGCTTCTGAAGGTTTTTAAAATCAATTTGTGCAAAGAGTGAGTCAGCACTGTATAAGGACTGTCTTGTTAGATGAGAGCTGCTTATTGAACACTACGTGTTTGACTAGTGAATTATATCAAAGTTCTAATAAGTTTACATGCACTTGAAAAAGCATTAAAATCAGATTTGTCAAAGTTTGTTGCATGAAATTTCCAGCCTAAAAATCTTAGCAGAACTCTTCTTATTAGAATTGATATTTTTCTGCAGAAAAATATTTTTATCTAGATCTGATATTTTACCCCAGGGCAGGAAATCCAGGAGAGGTGTTTGCCCAAAGAGCAGCTTGGCTATGGCCAGATTTCCAGCCCCAGGAAAGGGATGGCTCCACTTTTCCATATCGGACTGTTGGATGTGATGATCCTGAAGCTTTTTCCAAACTGCACAATTCTATGATTCTATGTCAGTCCTACATCTTAGCCTCTTATCTATGGCAAAGCTGGACTATATTTAGTTCTAACACCCCTACCTCTCCAGCAGCTAAAAACAATAACAACAACAAAAGAGCAGATTTTTGAAACATCATTTGTATTTTCACTTTTTTCACATCTTTTTCATTGTATACAGTGTTTTGCACTCCCAGCTGTTGTCCAGGTCTGCCACCAGCATAAGTCTGTAAAGATCTGAACTTGTTAGGAATAAGGAGGTCTGTGGATTGAGGAAGAAAATCTACCCTAAATGTTCATTGCATTACAGCTGAGGTACAAAAAAAAAGTTAATTACTGTAACAAAACAATAAAAATTCAGAATGTCCTAGGAGTCACATTCAACATCAGAGATTGTGCATACAAACTGGGTGGTACTATATTGACATCTCAGTAATGGCACACGCTGGGGACCCTGAAAGACTTGCTTTTGGTTAAAACTGAAGAATGAAGAGGGGGAAAAGGAGCCAAGTCAGCAGTTTTGCATTAGGCAAGAGGGGAGAAGTTTGTCATGCAAGGCAATCAGCAGTTAGCTCAACATCAGACAGCAGGGAGGGCTCGGGTTTGGGTTCTGCAAGTGTTTCCAATGAATGAAGCAAGATGAAGCGGTGTGTTTCGATGCGTAGCTAACCATTTCACAGCAGACAATTTCACCAGTTATTGAAATATGTCAGATCATCTACTGCCAAGACTGCCACTGAACTTGATCTAAATGAATCCCCAGAAATCTGTTGGGAAACTCCCATTGCTACAGATCTCTGCATTATTAATCGGAGATAGGGCAGACAGGAGACCAGTTTTTAAGTTGCATTTTTGCTGTTATAGAATGCAGATGTCCAACATTTCAGAGCAATTTTTCTGTTGTTTCATTTTTTTTTTTCCTGAAATCCTAGGGATCTGGTAGCCTCTAGCCCCAAAAAAGACATTGAAAAATGTAAAGCATTTTTAAAACGTTATTGATTGCGGGACCATAGTGGTTAGCATGCATAGCAGTTTGGGCAGGACATTCTTCATCTAGTTCAGCCCTTGTCAGCTATACTGGCATGACCTTGCTCTTTGCAGATGCAAAATGCTGTACAACTGCAATGGGCTGAGCAAGGGGTGAGGCCTGCAGTGTCTGGGCTGTGGGTGAGGGTGGTGCCTCCTGCCAGCCACACACCCTGCTTTGCCTCTCCTCCTCATTTCCAGCAGTGGCAGGATGAATGAGAAAGCTTCTCCAGAGCTTTTATCCTGGTTTAACTTTCCATAGCTGCTTGGCCTCTTCCTCCTTTCCTGTCTGTTATGGCACTGCTTTAATGAAAAGAGAAAAGGATTGCAAAACTGGCTGATTGACCTGTGATGCCAGTATCATGCCAAGCAAAAAGGTCAAATTTAGTATGCAGACACCTAGAGCTACCAGTAAAAAGCTAAAGCCCAGACGCATTGCAGGTATCTCCTGCAGGCATATTAATTAGAGGGGTGAGGGTCTTCTAGAAGCCTTGGGACAGATCTGAGGAAGGATTTTGCTCTCCTGGAGGAGGATCCAATCCATTTGTATGATCTGCAGCTGAACCTCCAGTAAGAAAGAGGCTGCAGACAGTGTGGACCATTTGCCATAGCAGTGAAATAGAGTATTTAGCATGTGTCACTTCTGCTTCTCAGACCCAACAGTCAGATGTTTGTATCCGCTCATGGGCTTCCACTTTCTTTGCTTATCCTGCTTGGGATCAAAAGGAGATTAAAAAGCCGTAAGCACTTACATATTGTTTCTCTTCCAAAGCTCAAAGCAAATTCTCTGGAAAGACTCCAGTTAGCTTCAGCTGGCTTTGGACCAGTCTCTCAAGGAAAAGATGCAAACTTTGGTTTGCAATTGACTCTACCATCCTCTTGAATTAGTTTGGGAAGCTAACTTGCAATTTAGCACTTAAAACATTTTAACCACAGTTATTGAGGAATTTTAAAACTAAGCAGTATAAAAAGTCATGGACTCCTTCATAAAGCCAGGCCTTTTATTCTACATTTATACCATCATTTTATTGAGTGTGATCTTCTTTTCTAGGTGGGACTTCAAATTTAGAAAGCTGATAATGCATATTTGAGTATCTAGCAGAGGACTCAAATGGCATTTGTAAAGCCGTATGTTAGCATGAGATCTAAGAGCAGTGGAATTTTTGTTTATACAGCATTTAGGAAGGGATCTACCTGTCTTCTTTTCAAAATACATTAATCTTTAAGAAGTTCATCACTTTACTTCGCTTACGAATGGCTTTATTCCTCCTGCTTCCCTACAACTACTTTTTTTTTTCCCAGAGATAGAATGTGCAAAGGAAGAAAGGAGTTACTTTGGAAGAAGTTTGCAAGGAGAAAATATGATAGAACATTTTTGAGGATTTTAGAAAATTACACTCATTTAAACTTATTACAATATCATCATTACAGATCCAGTGAATGTCTTCAAGCAAGAGCTTTCTCTTAAATGAAAATGAAACCCGCAATATCATTAGCAATTGGAAGAGAACTTATCTTCTCAAGCTATTCTGCTAAGACAGCAACAGCTTTCAGCTTCTTAACACTGAGTACTGCAAAGCTTGTCACTGACTTAAGAATTCAAACTAAATCCTTTCAGACAATAACTGCTTTCTTGCTGTATGTTGCAAAATATAGGGTTTGGTTTTTTTTTTTGGAACCATTTTGGAGCCATTTCTCTTCTTTTGCCATATGTTTATGGTTTTCTGCAAGCAAGACCTTGACCCATAGGATATTTAAAGCTGAAAGGAACCACTGGTTCCCTCAAGTCCATCCTTTCCCAGCAAAAGACTAACTTCAAAGAGAGGTCACATTGCTCAGGACCATGCCCAGTTGTGTCTTGAGCATCCCTAAAGAATGCATCTCCAAGGATGGAACTTTCCCTGCTACAGTTCTCAGCCATAACTTCCTGGCACTTCCCTGGGAAGGGAGAAAACTAGACCTCTCCACTCTGAAGCCAGACCTTGGAAATGGAGGACAGCAATTATCTTCCCTCTCTGTGCTCAGCTCAGCCACGATATCACCAGTTCTTGGATCTGTGGTACCAGGTGCCCCAAATGTTCACGCTCCTTCTTGGGCATTCCAAGCACCCTTCTGCTTCTAGTATGTAACAAGAGTTCCCAGTGCTCAAAATCCTGGGGAACACATTCTTCTTCCTAACTCCAAAGGTATTTGAGTGCCAGAATGTTGCTCTCTGCCACCCTTTCTTTGACTCACAGTAAAAAGGTTTATGAAGTTTGACCTGTTGAATCCTGCACCTCAGTTCCTTTCACTGGTTCCCTCAAGTGTGTGTAAATGGGTGGTAGGAAGATGACAAAATTAATTCCATCACAAAATGAGGTCATCAGTCGACCCTCTTCAGATTGCAGAAGAAAATAACTTCAATTCACTTGACTTCTTTTCACTGAGCAACATTCTCTAGAACTGAAATTTCAATTTTCTGTAGCAATACTCCAATTTCTGATCCAGTAAGACAGAATGGTTTGTGGCTTAGTCTGGAGAAAATGAATTATTTCTTCAATGACAATAGCAGTTAAAGAAAAAATACTATTGAGTTGATACAGAAGCATGAACTGCTCTACTTCTCAGTGTTTCTGTGCATTTTCCTCAACTGAGAGCACTGTTTGAAATCCAAGTTGTAGGAGTTGCTATTAGCTTATTACTCAGACTATCAAAATTGATGGATAGCAAAAGAAGGAAAGAAAAGAGATCCAGAGAGATACAATTCCCAGGAATGGAGAGAGAAGAGACTTGGAAAAATCAGGCAAATTTTAGGTTTAAACTCAACGTTTTCTCCAAGCATAACTTCAGTGGCTGATGTAAATTCCCATTCTTAATTCATAACCAATAATTTAATATGAAAGTATTTTGGTTTAGCTGAAGTGGAGTGTTCACCCACCTCTGAACTAAGTACAGTACCTGGATTTGTAATTAGGGAGGCCAAGAATTCTCCTCAAATTTATTTTTCACTTCCTCCAACAACCTAAGAAGTTTCCAGATGTGAATTGCCATATTGTACAATGCATATCTAGCCCTAATCTTGCAGTCCAGCACAGCTCAGCCATCACCAGAAGGCAAGAAACTAAGAACTTCTCATCAGCGCCTTCAATCTCACACTTGGGTTTCCTCTGAACCCTTCTTGTATTTTAAATAAATAATGAAGTTTTTGGATGAGGATTTAAGCCTCTCCATACAAGAACAACAAACTTCATGCAACTTTGTACTGCACATAGTTATGTATGGATTTGCAATAAAATATGTGTGTAGTTAGCATCCTTTTAAAAGGCCTGTGTGGAGAATGTCCATACAGGATGGGAAGAATTCTACTGGTCCTTGCAGATATGTAATCAGTATGGCCTTTCCAGTAGGGAAATAATTAACACACCATTTTGAAAGAAAAGGGAAATACTAAACAACCTAACTTCTTGCACTTTCTAGTTACACCTTGCAAGTATCACTCTTTTCCTCTCATCTACTGGCCACAAAGGGCTAGCACAGCACTTCTGTTCTCTTAGCCCTCTGGAGTTGCTTTGAAAGACTGTACCTATCAACAGATCTCAAAGGAGACTTACTGACTGAAAAAATACAGTCCTTTTGCTGGCCCACTCCAGAGGAAAGAATAGTTACAGGTCAGCTGACTGCTAATATGAACTATAGCCGAATGTCTTTTCTTAAAACCTGATTGTGGTTGGGTTTTTTTTTCTTTACACTGAAGATAGAGCATTTATTCTCGTTTCCACAGAAGGAATCTAAACTGCCATTAAGTTGCAACTAAAGTAATAACTGGATGAGAACTAAAACAAAGAGCTTCCAACTCAAACCACGACAGAGACAAAGCCACTGCATTTCACAAGAACAATCTGGAGAGAAATTCTTGTGTGTCATTTAAAAGGCCATTTATTTTTAAAACACCAGAACCTCTGATGGAGTAAATATTTCATCTCTAGCTCTCTCATACCGTTTTTTGGCAATTTTTTCCCCTCCTTTATGGAGTCTTACAACCAAATTCAGGAACATCAGAGTGAATGGCTAATTATAGGGTATCATTGTATGTACTGAAAAGATCTTGTTAAGGGAGTTGCAGAATAAAAGCTTCCAAAACTGACCTTGCCATCAACTTCCAAAAGTCATTCTTGGCAGAAATATTTCTAAATTCCTCCCCCTAAATAGTCCTTCAATAATATTTTATTTTTACATATCCTTTCAAAACAAGCAAGTTTGTTGAACATTTTTCCTACAGATCTAACAGTCACACGAGGCTTGTTGTTGCAACAAAACCAACATTTTAATGTGGAGGCTCCCAAAACTTCCTGCAAATAAATTACAACAAAGTGCAACCTTAGAGAACAGTAAATACAGCACTGGCAGAGTTGCCTTAAAGGTTATAAGATCTTATCCCAAAGTAACATCTCAGTGTGCTCTAAGGTAATGCTACTGCAAACTGTTCTCTCTCTTCTCTCCCATTCTTCTGAGATTATGAAAGCCTCATGATCCCCTTTGAGTTATCCTAATCATCCAGCCTTGATTAACAGAAAATGGAACTTCAAATTCCACATTTAAGAAATCCAAAGCACAAGTGGGATGTGTTTTTAGTATTTCCAGGGAGAAAGGCTAGCCTGCAGGGAAGTATTTGTACACTGGTGAAAAGAGTTTGGTCTTGACCGAGAAATTAAACACAAATGTAATCAGAAAGAGTTTCTCTCATGTAGAAGTGTACAATCCAAAGTGAGACTCAAATGCAAACTAGGATCTGAAGTACAGCTGGGCCATTGGTCTTCTCTTTAATCATGGAAGCTGTCAAAATACATTAAGAATAGTAGCAGTCTGGAAATATTTATTGCACTAAGCTTCTGCTCCTTATAAGAAGGAAATGAACAGATACAGCTTTCAACCTATGCTTCTCCTCAGTTGATATGAAATGACCCAAAGGCAGCACTACTGGTAAGAGATCCCAAGTTACAGGTTATGATTCAAAGATGAATCTCAGTGTAAAACCAGTAGAAATGTTTTTGTACCCAATCTGGAAGGTCTAGAGGAACGGATAGATAGCCAGACAGGCTTGAGGAAAGCTGAAAATCCCAGACTGCAGCGCAGGAATGATTTTTTTCTGAATTTTTACTCTAGTTTTTCTCCTGAGATCATATTTCAGTAAGGAGCTTTAAGAGTTTGATTTCAGAGGGATTGTGAGGGATTCTGAGCAAAGGGTACAAATGGCGAGCAAACTAAATGGAAATGATTCCTTTGCACATTTTTAAAACAAAAATATAATTGTCATTTTAAAACAAATCTTTGAGTTGTTGAATATGAAACAGAGCATGATTATTGGAACCAGTGCACTTTTCCCTCCTTTTTGAATACAAGTTTAAGGACAGTGTAATATCAGGCAAGATGCGTTCAGTGTCAGCCTTTGAGGTCATAAATTCTGTAGGCAATTAAAAGCAATAAAGACCAATACAAAGTTTCCATATAAGTATTTCATAAACATGTTTTATTTTCTGCTGCTGCTTCCTTGACATGTATTTTAAAAACAAATAATCCATTCCAGAAACTCTGCTTTTGGCCAGTCACTAATAAATCAAAGAAAGAGAGAGTAAAAAATTAGCGCACATCTAGAAGTCAGCTGCAACAGAATTGCTGTATACATTCAGAAAAGCAAGAAAGCCAAATGTCAGTTGATATCTCCCTTTCTCCAAAAGAAAACAATATCATCTATCAGTGAATAGGAATTTGACTCTGACCATGACCATAAACCGCATGGCACAAGAAGAGATAGAGACCAAAATAAATAAGTTCCAATCCCATTAACAACTTTATGAACAAAATCCAATATGAGAAAACTCTATTCAGCATTTACCAGATTACTATTTTAATTTCAGACATGTGGGTATGATGTTCCTTGGAAAGACCTAGCTTTCCTTAAATGACTGCGACCTGAATGCCGCATTGCCTTCCACTTCAGAAGAAGTGGCAGAGGTAAGCATGCACGAATATATCTCAGAATTTAGTCTGAAGCAAATAGGTTAGGAATAAAAACATTACTCTGCACCAGAAACAGCAATGATGACAGTATTTGATTGACATGGATGTTAATTAACCCCTTAATCATTGTCTGTCTAGGTAGTATCACTGCGGAGATTGCTTACTTAGACTGAGTGACATGGAAAACTACTCTGAAGAGCTTGGCAGAGTTGTTTGACCATCCACTGAATGTCTTGCAAATGCCTTATCCATACTGAGCTCTGAGCACATATACCAAAAACTGGTCTTAGTTTAGTTTTCAATTTGTTACACTGAAAAAGTGCAAAGACATGGGGATTTACCTGAAAATATTTCATTTTTCTTATCTACACCATTCACTAATGTTGGCCAACATTTCTTGTGATTAATACTTTGAAGTGAAATCTGGAAAGACATCTACACTTGCTTTCATATAAAAATCTGTCTTCCATTCCAGACCTGTTGCTCACTTGCTGTGACTGTCAGGAAATCTTGTTTCCACACTTGCTGAATTATTTGTTAATATTGTTTGGTAATGTCTGTCCTTCAAGAAGCAGCCTGCATGCTGTGTACTTAAAATATTTTTGATGGGCAATGGTGGCTGATTCCTCAAACTGTAGAAAAATGCTCTCACTAATGATTTCTCTTTGAAGAATATCCAGCCTTATATCCTACTGTAGTATGTAGAAGATTGCTTAGTGAAACAGTCATTCGGAAGCTTTGTCCTACTCCAGACCCCTCTGATACTAAACATAATAAAATAACTACTAAGAAAAAAGTCCTGTCAACTCGGTTTAGGTATAGGACTAAAAGAAATCACAAGGAATACTGTAAAATACTCTAATTCTGGATAAACATAGTGAGCACATCTATCAAATATGCTCCCAGTATTCCCATTTCCATTTGCTCGTCACATTTTTTTTAAAATGGCTCCAGAAGAAAGAAACCTACTCATAAGCCAAAAACTTAAATGTTGTAACAGTTGCTTAGGGTGCTGTAGGCCAAGTCAAGATAGAAAGTTGAACCAGCTCACAGGGTCTGAGCAATCTTGGAACTCAGCAAAACAGTGAAAGGCAAATTGCAAGATGTGAAAAATATGGCTTCATATATTGAAAGAGTTCCTTTGTTTTCCATTTTGACAAATCCCAGAATTCCATCATCTCTATTAAGAAGAAATATTTTCTAAACCTAAATACAGAACATATTAAAATACAAGAGTGAGGGATTCTCAAGCATGGCACAAA